TTACCTCTCTCGCAGAGGAAAAAGCCCACATTTTTTGAACATCAAAACCAGCATTAAAGCCCTTTCACTGCAGCTAGTCCCAGCATAGAAAAGTCATCTGCAGACACCAAATCGTCTTTCTGCGAACAATCTCCAAGTGCTTGACTCTGCCTGTCTAGAAATGGGAAAGGTAATTCACAAGGTTGCTGGTTTTTAAAATGCAAACTGGGAAAACAGAAATACCACTATGTTCATGTGTAGCCCGTAGAGTTTGTGAGCGAAATTGGTATCTTTGACCTAAGTGACAAAGCACGTAAGCAAACCGTAGAAGTCATACAGTAGGTGCTGCTCTAAACGGGAGAGGAACAAGAGCACTTTGTATGCCACTCAAAAGCTATAGGGAGCTATCATCCATTATTTCCAATAACAATCAATAATTCCTATGCAAACGGAGGTAGTTGGAGGGCAAAAGACCCCAGTGCTTTCGCAGACTGAACCCAGACACGTATCTGCATCTTCCTCCTGTACGCAAGTGAGAGCCTACACCAAAAGGAACTTTGCTTTTTCTGTGTACTTTTATCACCAGTAAAATACTTAGCAGCTTGGGTATTTCAGCTGTCACGAGACTTCAAAGTCAATAATGCCTTGAAAGGAATATTATCAGGATCAGTGGAGCCTGCAAGCTGTGTAGTTTTACAGTTACCTTGGCAATAGTTATTGCATCCGCATTCAGAAGTCCTGGTAGGTCTGGGCTGCCATATTGCTAGGTCCTGTACCAAAACAGAAAACTAACAGTTCCTGCCCAGAGGAACTTTAAATCTGAACAAGCTCCTCCACCACATTAACACTAATTACTGCGCTTGCTGATAATCTACAAAGAGCTACGCTGGATTAAAGGTGGGCTGTCAGCTGCCGTGCCGCTGCCAGCACACAAACAGCCGCTGTGCACGCCTCTGCCTTGGGACCAGAGGCGAGAGTGCCGGCTGTATTCGGGCTCTTACACACACCGACTTCCCTTGCAATAAAACAAAAGCCCTTGCATACAGAGAGAAGATAAAGGCTACCTGCAACTCTCTTTGGAGAGCAAATAGGTGGAAGAAATCTCCAAATTAAAACCTGAGCAAAACACTGCCGTAATCAGTATCCAGAAGTAGGTCAAATGCCAACAAATATCTCCCCCCTTCCTTTAAATGAAAAAAAAAAAAAAAAAAGGATAAATACTCTTATCATAATAATATACCAACATACGATGCTATGACACCTGGATGACCAGTGGACTCGGGAAATCCCAGTGGAGCAAGCCATCCAGTAAGAATACTTCTAGAAGCTGCTGCCTCTGTTTAAAGGTCAAAGAAGAATTTTCACCTAATTCGTAACTATAAAAAGACTCTGAGGTCTTTCAGGAACTTAAGTCGAGCAGCATAAAATATCACCTACTGGAGTATGTAATCCAAACTAATTTAAGCAAAACGTACAATCTTATGCTGTCCTAAGGTAGTTCTGTCAGACCACAACAGCAGCAGCGATTAATCACGTCCAGATGAACTTTTTTCATAACAGCAGTTGCGAATAGGTTGATATCAAACGAAGCGAAAAGTTGGGTAGACTTATTAATGCCTTTATTAGTGCACTCCAAGCGGAACCTTGGGAACCTTTTAACTTTAAGCTCAAAAGAGGACCTCATCGGGAAGGACACGTGGGCGTGGGAAAAGTGTTGGCAGGATTACGGGCTCATTAAAGGTGACCTAAAAAGGAAAGCAGAATCGGATTTGTGCTCTTTCATGTTCCCGTATGATATATAAAGAAGGGCTAATTTTTTTTTTCTTCTTAAAAGGGTTTTTCCTCCTTATTTCTACATTAGAGATTTCATACCTGGAGAGTAGCTGGAAGGTGACATTCAAGATGTTGTGAAAGTGAAGCCTGATGAGTGGAGAAGTAACGCCACTTTTATTCAAATGCTTTATAGTTTAACGTCTATTTAAATCAAAGACATAAACGAAGGGTAGGGAGAGAATCTGGTTTTGTTCAAGATTTAACAAACCTGCCCCTTCAGTAAAATCAGCAGTTTTCTTACTCATAAATGAGACTCAAACAGTCATCCAGCAAAACAAAAAATAACGGATTTTAACCTTTCTTTTTAATCTTGCATTATTCGCCTACCTCAGGAACAGCAAAAAAGTTGAACAATTTCTTTTACATGTCTTCCCAAGATAAAAAACGAAGCATCCATGAAGAAAACGAGAACGAGTCCACATATCCTCCTCTACCCTCATATAACCTGGCATAAAATGAGATTGCTATTAATAGCTAACTCCTCTCTGGGCGAGACCATACACAAAACGTAGTCCTTTTAAAGTCAGTTATCACAACATGGCCTTCCACAAGCTTAGGACAAGGCTCTAGGAAAGAAACCGTCTTTATGCTATGAGCTACATTGCCCCCGTGCCCCCAGTTGACTATGGGTTTGAAAAGCTCACGTGTCCTGCCACGGATGGGAAGAGCTCAGCAGATGTTTCAGTCCAAGCCTCTGTTTAGAAGAGCTCCGGCTGAAGTCAGTCCTTGCACGAGCAGTTTCAGGTACCAACACAGACTGTCTCTAAGGGACATCCAACACCATGCCAGCTATGGCTTTAAAGACCTTTTCCCCAAAGCCACACAGCTGTCTCCTTCCTCCCCTACAGGCATTAAAGAAAAAATACAAATACTTCTGGAATTTGCAGAATATTAAAATAAATAAATACTTTGGTTCTTTTTTTCTGTAAGAGAAGTAAGAGAAAAATAAACCAAAACTACAGCAGCATTCGTAAAGTGCCATCACAGAAGACTGCTTGGAAGCACATCCACCCAGCTCTCACAATGGAGTCCATCAAAACCCAGAAGCCCCAAGGCTTCCAGTGTTTCAAACCAACACTTAAAACCCTTAAAGAATGCAGCAAATACTGAAAAAAACAAAGCTTGTATCCCTTAAAAGCTTAGAAAAAGTTGTACAGCAAGATGATTGTGTATAGAATGGACACTAAATATCAGTTCATCTAAAAACACAAAGCCAAACCCTCAAACAAGTCATGTGAGCCGAAAAGACAACGCACCGAGATGCTGCCTCTATTTTAGGCACAGAACAATTTCAGATCTTCAGGGCCACAGCCTACAGCAAATAATGATGAGCAAAAAGGAAAAAAGTGACAGGCTGGAAGGGCGAGGAGCCAGAAGAGAACAAGAAGCCCAGAGAAGATCATGGGCTGAAGATGAATCGCATCTGAAAGGAGCAACTTTGCTTTCAAGTGAGATACGAAAAGCCTCACTCCTAGAGACAACGCGACCACTGGCTACTGGAAACACACTGCAACAAAACAGTAAATAAAGCAGACTCAGAAAGAATGGACTTTAAACTGAAGTTACTGGTTTCGGTGTTTAGGTTAGGGAGCATTTATCAGCATTTTTACAAATAGGAAGTATCAGTATTTGCATGCCCATTCAGTAAGAAAGCTACGGGAGAAGTAGGGAAGGGGGATGTCCATCATGGCTTGGCTTTTGATTAACTGACACCTCACACAGCAACCAGCCGCACAGACAGTCGGGGTCCCCAGCAGGAAAAACTGCAACAGAGAATTCCCTGAAAAATTTGTGTGCAAAATTATAGCTAAAACCAGTCTTGATAAGTCATAAAATTCAGGGTGGGGAGAAGCAAACGAAAAGCATTGGCAGCTGCGGAGAACCAAATTCAAGAGCCAGTATCCTCCTTAAAAAAAACCCAGTATCAGTTGGAGGGAGTCACCATTCCTGACATTGTTCTTGCTGGCACACTCTGCAGTATAGAGAACTTTAACCCCAATCCTCAAATTTGAATCCTCTTAAATTACAAACAAAATCGAACCAATCCCAAGATTTGCAAAATTTTAGATTACTTTTCAAATCAGAAGTGTGTTTTGTCTCATGAAAAAGATCGAAGTGGCTTTTAATTCCTCTGAAAAATCAATGCAATTCATGTTTTAAAATACGTTGCCATGTGTGACTGAAGGACATTTTAAGAAGCAGGAAAATGGAAAGCATTCTACTCTCTAGAACAAAAAATAAAATCTAAGTCTTATTGGGCTAACATAGGAATATTATTGCTGCAGTATAATTCAGGAATACAAGAAGCACATTTTTATATTTCAGCTGCAAATTAGGCTCAAAAAGCAGCAGAGGAAAACCTCTGTAGAGAAATGAATTGCTCTCTGAGAGACAGGTTATTTTGAAGCCGTAAAAGAGCAGAAAAGCAACAGCGCGCGTTGCATAAGCAGATGCCCTCGCACCTTTCTGTCGGAGTACACGCCTGCATAAATAAATATTTAGCCAAACATCAAAATTTATAAGGAAGCAGCCCACCACTTTACAAAATCAGGCAAAAGCAAATTGAGACTCATTGCAGAGAGCCCTGCCCTGAATACTAATGCATTATTGATACCCCAGGACCAAAAAGCAGCGACATCTCCGGATCCTAAGCAAGCCTCATCCATCTAATGCAGCAGGATCTGAACATGTCTTGATAAAACCTTATTGCTAAAAATTTTCTGTTATCAGGCAGCTTCTGTAACAGAGGCAAAGGCACGGCTTCCCGGCTAGCAGGGTTTTTCCCTGCGCTTATTCTAATGATACACATTCAATTACTCGAGAAAAGAAAAGAATCAAATCAGAAACATCTGTAGTTTGCCATATAATTACTGGATCTTCCCCATGGAGACTGACCTTTGTAACACTGATACCGGGACCTGAAAGGCTAAATGACAGGATATTCACATGGTTTAAATGTATAACATGATTACAAGGAATTAAATAGGCGCTGTTATTTTCCATCTTGGTTTATGTTAACATAAGCGTGGACTTTATGATCTTACATTTCATCTTTGCGCTCAGTATGTAGTAGCTGAATTTACTCACTATTAGTGGACCCAAACCACTAAAATGCCATGTTTTGATTATATAATAAAGTTGAATACTGGATTCGAGTTACATTCGAGTAATGCAGCCATTACTTTTACCTGTAATAGGAATCTCTTTGACCGCGCTTTCTTCCTTGCTCTCATCTTCACACCAGCTTGTGACTTCTGGATGTGAACACACTATAATGAAACAGATTTCAAAGTCGCAGTGATCAGACTGGTTTGTTTGCTTTTAAGCCCTACTCCCTTTAATTTCTCACTTTTGTTATCTCTTGTTTATTGATCTAAACTATCCATTACCGTCCTTAAAAGAGGCGCCTACTGTGAACTTTCCTCATATGCGAGGCTACCCTGCCTCTCTGTAGCTTCTAGAGAAAAGGACAAGCTAACCAAATGTCTTAAATAATTTAAGACCCAATGGGATTTAGGAAACAAACAACCCACAGTAACTCTGCGATCTCGTCCGGCAGCCCGACAGCAGCAGCGTGTATATCATACCAACCGCGGAAAATTAGTTTAAATCAAAGTCTCCATCTCCTCTGCGGATAAAAGTCGCGTGAATTTAGGAGGCCAAAAGTAGTTTGTTTACATTTGCTGCGTAAAGAGCATTGCAACCTAATTGCCTGTCTCTTCCGGACTTTGATGTAAGGGATGCTCTGAGAGCAGACCGAGCAAGTTGCCATCACCGATTATTAAGCCGGACTAATATATTACTTCCTTATCTAAAGAAATTAACTGGGTTTTCACAAACGCGTTCATCTTCTAAGCTCTGAAACTGCACCGCACACCTTTCTCAGCATGAACCCTTTTGAAAATTTGTTCTGCGGCCTGGCTTTATAATAAAAGGCAACAAATATATCCCACAATTTCTAAATGGTAGACATTTTTTAAACACATGCACACCTATAGATGCGTTTTTAATAACTGCCACAAAGCTTGCTTTTCTACTACTGCAAAAAAAAAATAGTCACAACAGGCATCACTCATTTTAAGAAATAACAAGAATGACAAACGGTTCTGAGATATTTAGGAAAATCCCCCGAAGTTCATTACAAATATACATTAATTCGTCAGTAACTATAATACAGTCCCCTGCAGATTTGGATAGAAAATCCATATATACAAAGAAGGACAATAACTTTGAGCGCACAGCCGGACCTTTTAACACTTGTTACCTTGTTCTCCCGTGCCGGCGAGCCAGGGAGCATGTTTTGCTTGCTTTATTTCCCCGCCGTCGTTTGGAATCGATGGCAAGCTGTAAGATGACTCATTACTCCGAATAGATGACCTATCCCCACACCCTTCTGGAAGGGCCTCTCTCAACACCGGTAGAGCCTGCAGCATTAAAAAAATAAAAATAGCCGCAGCCCTATTATCCTTTGTCTCGAGCGTTTTCCAACATACATTTAGGCTAATCTATACTTCATGGCGTAATCTGTTTCCAGGGTGTTTTTGTTAGATGTTAAATTACCTCTGAGTTAAATCGGCGCTAGCTCAGGAATTGCGTTCTGCCTTGAAATAACACAAACTTTGAATTATTCTTTTAATCGCTAGGTTTTCTGGAAATTCGCAGTATTCCCTGCCTCATGCATTCAGGGTAAGCAAAACAGAAGGGTGTATCAAATACGCTGCAACAGCAACAGACTGAAAAGAAATCTCTCCATTTCAGGCACGCAGCAATAAGGCAAGTTAACCCATAGCATTAGCAATAGCTGCAGCTTAAAACAACACTGGAGACCAATGAACCTGAAGGCAGAGAAGCCGATGCACAGCTTGCCCAAGCTAGCCTCAGCCGGGCACGGTTCCCACTTTAATCCGTGTTATTCCTGCACGTTTGTAAAGTTTTTTCTCTCCTGCCTGTGCCTGCAGCCCTCTGCAGCAGCACTATTCAGACCTCCGCAGTTAAACGTATTTTTGATGCAAAAAATTAAGTTGGAAGCCAGTACCTTTATAGGGAGCTGAACGTACCGTAAACATGGCTGAGTTAAAAGCAGGCTTTAAAATAAAGCAAGCGCTTCTCAGGTTATCATCGACCTGTGCTAACAGTACTGTGTGTGGCTTTATAAAGCTCTTTCTGAGAGCAGGAGAAATCATCCTTCCTGTTTATTATCTCACAAAGTGCAGCAAAGGCTTTTTGGGTATCCTTCCTATCTCTTCTTTACTTGTAGGGTGTTCCTCTCGGTTTCACTTTGTAACACAAAATAGGGACTTGAGTCTTTAAAATCTACTAGATTTTCTGCTCTAATTATCTAGTTGTTTAACAAAACAATTGTTTAATAAAACAATAAGTCTTCAGAGATAAGGACCAACATCTCAGAGAGAACTCCATGTTTTGTAACTTATTTTGTATGTACTGACCTGAGAATATGGAATGACTTCAAGCCAAAACATTTTGGACTCATGAGAAAATTTTATTCTCTTGCATCTGCTCCCTCCTCATTACTCCGTATTTTTTCAGGAGCCTGGAACGGCAGCTTTTCAGTCTTAAGCAAATAGCTCGCCAAATTTTTTTATTTCTATTAAACTTACATATGGGAAGTCTCCATACAAAACCAATGCGAGCAAGCTGCTACCTCCTCCAAAACCCAGGGATTTTAAGTCTCATCTTCTTAATGTAAAGAATGCCTTAAATTAAAGGCAGGATTGGGAAATCTTTATTACTGAAAGCAATTAATTCTTATGTGGCAGTTTATCTCAGTGTGGATTTCTCACACCAGAAGTACTTCGTTTACCTATTTGCAGTATCATTTAACATCCAAATAGGCATGAACCACCACCAACAAATACAAGCAATCAATATAAACTCTAGCACCGTAATTAATCCAGGCGGAAGTAAGGTTCCCACCAGGAGAACCAAAGCTCGGCGTGCAGAGTCACAGGGACCAAGATGACTCCGGAGTGGCCGACATCTCCACCAGGGCGTGAAGACGTCTAACATGCTGCATGAGCCACGCAGGTCTTATTCTTACAGGAGCGTAACTTGGCTGAAAAGGGCACTGGATTCCACAGCTTCCACAGCCAAGAGACTACCCCACTGCCCAGAAAAGGTGTTCCTACCACGCCAGCTCCCTATGGCTGTCCCACATCCACAGGAACAACACCCAGTTTTCTTATCAGGAGTAATGGGAGAGATCTTTGACAGAAGAGAAAAACTGATAGAAGATGTAAGAGAATAGAAGACAGACGTAATTTAGTGACAAGAGACGAGGAGAAGACAGGCAGGTGGACAGACAGACTCTGTGGACCACTGGAATGGGTGAGATGCTGAAGGCACTGGAGGACAAGGTGGACCTGCTGCTGGTCATCACCAAACCTCTGGGAATCACAAGTGCTGATGGGGATGGAGCTGGCAGACTTGACAGGTCTTTTTGTACAGTCAGGAGCTCAAAGCTCCCTCCTGCACCTTCACCATGTTGCCTGGCTTACAGCACCATCATCCAGTGGGGTTCCTGACAGATCTTTAAGCCCTCAGAGAAAGAAGTCATCAACATGGGCCAAAAATTCAGACTTTGGAGTCGTAAATATTTAAGATCCTTAGGTGCAGATCACTTACGAGTTCACTACTACATTATATACATCTTTATGGTAAAGCAACTGTTCCTGTACATGCACATTGTGTAATTTACATTGATCTTGTTCTGTGCAACCTGCTTGCAAATAAGGTGTTTCAAAGTAGGGGATGCATCCTGGTGTTACATTTAATTGACTGGCTCCACTTCATACGTAATATAAATGTTAAATGCTTATGTGTGGGCCACAGTAACACGTAGCAATAAACAGATTATTACTGCATATATTCAGCCATAAAGATTGTGTTATTGAGCTTTGACTTTGTAAAAGTTTTTACATGCAATTATAAATTTATGTATGGTATGGTATTTGTTTATCTGTCACCAGCGCAATGATACATTCCTTGCTCATCTCTTCTACTTTCCTGAACATTTTAAGAACAGAATACAAATCACTTACCCACACACAGAAAAAGAAGTTACCCTGGCTACTATTGAAAGTGTACAACTGACTAAAATATTGCATCTTCACCATTTGTTTCAAATGCTATTAAAACTAGCTATAGCAAAGCAGTTCAAACTGCTTGTTAATTTCTCATTGAACATTAGAGGAGAAATGTTTTTTGCAAATATTTTTTGGAGCAGAGCACAGGGCCAACTCATTACCCACGGGCTGCCTGGCAGACTCCCGGTTCCCACTGCAGGGGGGGTGCAGCAGCAGCTGGGACGTCACCCTGCTGCTGGCGTCCCAGCTCTCCTGGCATGGCTGCAGCTGGAGGCAGCGGGGACCGGAGCCCTGCCCGCCCCACACGGCTGGCTGCTCTGGGTTTGCAGCAAAAGAGGTCAGGGCACTCGCGGGTCTACCGAATGCCAACTGGTTTTTTTTTTTGAAAGAGTTAGTTTATAACCTTTTGTGTTAACATGTAAAAAAATGAGCATGCTAATATTTGTAAAATGCTCTGCGTATTCAGTGTACCAAACATAACTCTGTTTAAAAAAAAAATAATCATTCATGATAAAAAGCTAGTAAGCCACAGAGAAAGACAGATGATGTAAGTCTTGTGATAAATTCGCACCACAGCAAATGTGTGAGCTTGTTTAAATAAATAACTGGTTTTAAGGGTGGAAAACAGACACCCTCCTGGAGACCTTAAAGAGACCGTTTTCTTCGTGGGATGAAGTGCTGTACGTGTTTGCCTCAAGACAACTGAAGAACTTGTATTCTCTCCTTATCCACCTCCTAACCGTCTCCAAGGCTAATTAATGAATGCAGACTGCTTGTCGTTCCCCTTAAAGCCCACGCACCGGATTGTGTTAGCAGCAAGTCTCGCCTTAACACTGCCGATTAGTCTCTAGGTGTCCTCGATTTAGATTATTAGATGCAAGTGCCAACCTGGCTGTCCTGCGCCTTCTTGCTGGAAAGCAGCAGGCTTTCAAACATCTCCGCCACTTCTTCAGTGAGCTGAACCTGGTGCGTTTTCAAGAACAAGGCATGGTTGCTCAAGCAGGTCTGCAGCATGTCCACGTCCCACTGCGGGTCTGGCCTGAGAAACAAACCCAAGCACCGTTAGTGGGACACCCCACGTACGCGAGACTCGCACAGCTGCCATGCTACTCATTTATCTGAACAAGCGGTTGAACATGCAGTGGGAAAAGCCATCACACATTTTGTCCTTAACTCCCACTTTTTCTTTTAAAAATGTCCAAAGTGGAAAATGTAAGAAGTCACTTGTGAGTTCTGCAAATGTGGGGAGGACAGGCAGGGACGATTATCATCATGTCTGTCCCCTGGGTCTGCCCTGAGACTCAGGATCAGGACACATCAAACCTTTTCTGCAGCCCCTAGTCTCAGCCTTGGGCAGACCTCACTTACTCCATCAGGCACTCTGCTGGGCACCCACTTCCCCAGGCTTGTCTTTTTTTTTTTTCCAGAATTCTTTTTATTATTTTTGAGCAAAAGTGCTTTTTCTTTTAACGCAGAAAATACAAATACTGCAACCTTGTTTGCCAAAGATGTTTGTTTTTCCAGTTGCTCCAATGAAGTTTCACAAACAGAGGAGTGAATTCCAATTAATTCCACAAGTGTTTGTCCCTAAGAAACCATTCAGGAAATACAACAAAGTATTAGTGCTCGCAGGCATATCAGCCTCAAAAGAAGAACCAGGTATAGTTAAATAGATCATTCTTCAGCTCACAAGTGCCCCGATCCTGCTAACACTTGAGCATTGCTGAGCCTGTAACAGGGAGGAAAGTCTAGACAGAAGCTAAGTAAGAACGAATGGAAATTGTTTTCATTACTGTATTAGAGACCTTAAAAAAAAAATCAATTCTTGCTTGTCCTTGTGGCATACACACAGGAAAGAGAAAACCCATTTTGAATAACTGTGGTTTATTGTTTTTAAAGGCTATATGCATCTTCTGCTTCACAGAAAAATAATCTGCTTCTCAAAATTACATTCCCCATCCTTACGTGCCTGAGACTCGCGTTGAAGATCACAGAAATTACTGGCTAAGAGGTCTCTGAAGTTAATATGTTTCCTTCCCTGCCAGAGCAGCCTGGGGTGGGAGATGCTGTGGACTGGGCAAGACGGGGGACCTGGCCCAAGCACTGCCCGGCAGAATAAGATTCACCATCAGTGAATGAAAAGGAAAAGAAATGAATTTGCTTAATGTTCTCATTTCAAGTCGCACGGCTGCTGCCAAGATGCATAAAGATCAGCACTCAGACGTCTTTATTTTCCAGTGCAATCGAAGGTCTGGCCCCAGGTCTGCTTTCTCTGCGCAGAGAGGCAGAGCAGACTTGGGGAGGAAAGAAAAGATATTAATCACACCCACACGCAAGTTTTGTGCCCGTGTTACCTGGTTTGCTTTTCATCCACTGCTCTACCTTTAGCATCGAGTGTTTTCTCAGGTAGGAGGCATCCATTCAACATGCTCTGTAATAAAGCCCGAAGCTGATGAAGGACGACTGCTTCGCATTCTTCAAGGTCATCTTCTTTCAAACTGCTGGTCCGATTACAAAAGCTACAAAATAAAGCAGGTATTACTTGCAACGTTTATTTAAAGCCCAGACAGCCAGCATCGGTTTGGAGGCAGAATCTGTAACACTTCCCCTGGCTAATGGGATAACTGGTGGGACAGCCCAGGGGGACAAACATTCGTGATGCTCTCTGCAAAAGATGCAGAACAGGACAGGGAGGTCAAACCCAGCGCTTGGAAAACAGCAGGTTTAATCTCACACCTTTGCTTTCTGACAGGGAGAGAGGAACCTGTGCACATCCACTTGGTGAAACCGCTTCTTGGCCAGGCAGCCCCAGCCATGCCGTGGCCAAAGCAGTTATGTTGCAGGAACCCATCTCCAATGGTAGGCTGCAAGGGCCAGGTCGGTTGGCAACCCTTCCTCCTAATCCCTTAGAAAACCTCTAACCATCAAGTGCTTACGAGAATCCTAGTTTATGGAGGCTGACATAGAATTTTAAATAAAATTACAAAGCCATTCCCGGTTCTTGTAATTAAGATCCTGTGCTGCGGAGGGACTGCGAGGGCTCTCTAACCCCAGTTTTGTTAACACGCGGGTTTTGGTGATTCTCTTTGCTCTTTTACCTCAAAGAAAAAAATACTTTTCTAGTTGTTGTTGTCTACCTCAGTAAATCATATTAGCATTACTAGCTAAGGAGATGCTCGCATTCTTAGAAGTATTTACTTCACCTAAGGGATCTGTAGAGCAAGGCTGCAAAAAGTGCTACATTTAGGAAAGAGTATTTGTTGGAGTAATTTGCGTATGTGCTTCTAAGTGCCATATTTCAGCTCTCCAGTGACATTAAAACAGTGGAAGGGAAGGGAGGCCTCTTAGCAGCTAGCAATATGTTTGTTTGCAGGAGCCCACTTGCTCTTTGCACCGGCCATTTGTCACCGCAAGAGCGAGGACCCCAGCTCAAATCTCAACAGGCTCCTGCAAACCTGCTCGGTAACAGCCTCTTGCCATTGCTCACCTGAATTCAATTAGAAGCGTGTAAGCAATCAACAACAAAATTATTACAAGCATTGCATTGGATGTACGGCAGCAAGCAAACAAGAATAAAGGGGATGGGGTTAAGGCGTAGGCAGCACTGCACTCCTCCCCAGTTCCTGCCCACTCTGCAAGGGCAGCGGAGAGGAGAGGCAGCTCGCAGGGAAGCGGCATTAACCTGAGCAGCTCCGCCGTCCCCATCGTCCCCACGTGCTCGCCCTGGTACAGCGCCCGGTGCTGGGGGCTCGTCCTCACCACCACGTCTTCTATCAACTGCAGCGCGCGGGAGAGTCCCGCTAGCATCCCGCGGTGCCTGCGGACAGACAGAAAACAGGGCTTGAAGTGACTTGAGCTGCGACAGGTATTTTAAACGTGTTCCCATCACGTCAGTTGGAAAAACAAACACCCTCATTTTAGCTTTTCAAAGCAAACGGCAGCAAAAAACACATTGCTTGAGCTCTGTAGAAAGAAAAAAAAATGAGCAAACAAACCATCCAAAAATCAGCCAGGGCCTGAGATGCTACATTGAAATTAAACTGAGTAGTTTAATTCCTTCACCTCCACAATTGGAATAAATCTGGTGACCACCTACAGGTACAGGGACATAACTGGGACCTCAGAGAGGTTTTGATGAAGCTGCACCTCTATAATGATGCAAATTAGGACTTAAACATTGAAACAATACAGCAGGCTAATCCTTGAACAGAGGTGTAAATGGCTATTCAGGTCCAGGCCGGCCGCCTGCTTTGTTGGGGACTTTCCAGGCCAGGTCTCCACCAGCAGTGCCCCAGCTGGGCCTGCGCCCGCAGAGCCCCACAGGCAAAATAAAGATTTTTTTTTTTTTTTTTTTCCCCCCGTATGTAGAAGCTGACATATTGATACAGTTAATCTTGGTTTACGCTCCCTCAAGTGAAAAGCTCTGTGCACAAAAAGTTGCATCACTTCTGCAATCATGTGAAGCTATCTGCAAGTTGTGTTTTCCCTCAGACTGTTGGGCAACAGTGAACAATTAAGCGGGAGCTGCCGTGCATTTAGTCGAGTTTCCTAGACATTTAATAAGCAAAACAATGCCAGGGAGATCACATATGCAGTTAAACAGTGCTTTTTCTTTTCCCCCCAGTCTTACAAACCCTGTATTTTAGCGGCCGGCTCGTTTCCCATTGTTTTCCTCCCGCTGGGTGGTCCTTCCAGGGTGCCACTCGAGAGGGATACAATAATAAAAAGGGAAGGGGAAGGAAGGGACACCAACATAAAGAAAAACAAAATGTATGACAATCTGCAGCAGGCTACGGATCAGAGGTCAGCAAACAAGAGGTCCTTCTCTTTTACAGGTTGCTTCCTGGAAACAGTCTGATTAAGCTGACAGCTTGAATTATGTGTTACATTTTGTAATGCACAATCCATCTGTGCTAAGTCCTCTTCAATGCAGCTGAAGCAGCACAGGCATAAGCTCTGCCTTTTTCCACCCCCTCAGCACAGGCCTTAAAATAGTCATCATCTTTCTCTGCGCTAATTCTCTGAGACCCTCTCCCCCCCCTCGCTCCCCGGGTTTAAGCCCTTAAAGAAAGGGCCGGGTGCTGGAAGGAATGGTAAGAGGATACGGAGCCTTTCACCTCCGGCTCAGCAGCTCAGACCGGCAACAAGCAGCCAAGGACTGGAGCTATCGGGTGGCTTCACCTGGCGGGAGGGGAAATCGGGTGCCTTTACAGTGCCACTCGAAAAAGCCAGGCAAGCCCCCCGCTCACCAGTGGGCTCCTGGGCTGCAGACCTGAACGGAAAATACTCGGATCAGGCTCTCGCAGAGGTCTGAGCTGGCGGGACGAGTCTGAAGAGGTGCGTGTACAACCTCTGATCAACACACTTAGCCAGCAGTGCTCCGAAACATGGACTTCAGTTATTAAAAACGATGATTTTTGAAAATAAGGTAGCAAAATTGCAGCACCCCACCGTGAACTGCGACCACGGCGCACAGCTTATACTAAACAACCCTTCACAGCAACATACCTTTCTTTGGTTAATAACCCAATAATGTTATCATGATAACCATTCCTCTACCTGGAAAAGGCAGTCTGAAATTAGGCTGAACTCACTCAGAGGTAAAATATGACCTGCAAACACTTACTGCGGGGGAAAAAAATCCAAAACTTTAAAAAAAAAAGACAATGGTATTTCTGCAGTAAGGTAGGAAAGGCATTTTCTCTAAAAATATAAACTTGTGACTTCCTGACATGCAACAAGGATTTTGTTTTGCCTTTTGAATGAGCTATGATCCCTGTACACGAGAGCTCCCTTCCTCTCTATCATTCATACTAATTTCAAATAAGACACCAAAAGTGTATGAAGGCCCCAAAGACGACAGGCGAGGAATGGTACTTTGTTCGGATGCCACAGCAGCGACACTGCTGCATTGGGGAAGTCTAAGCTACAGATATTTTAATTTAGGACAACAAATATAAATAGTTTTGCAAAATTTCTGCATATTTCTTCAGCCAGCGTAGGAATTTCGTAAGAGAAAAACACATGGACTGAAGGGACATCGCAAGACCTGTGATATTATTCATTCTGTGAATCTGTAGCATGACATACTCAGACCAAAAAAAGTTGCATTCTCATAGTTTGTGTAATTTATATAATTGAAATTCATGTACTAATTACTTGGAAACTTTTCCCCAAGATCTTCAGCTCATTAATTATTTTGCAAGACTCGAGCGTGCATGTTGCATTTCACGTGCACTGGAAAGACGGACTTGGAAAGCCCACCTGGTTATAAGCGCAGCAATGGAAAAGGCTGCTTATCCCTCCACTAGACCTTCCGTGCCTGCCATTTTTTAAATTTTACCTGCATTTTAATTTTCAGGTAAAACAACTTAAAATTTTTATCTTTTCTGCAGAAACAGCTAACAGCAGTGATCCCACTTCCATGGCCTTGAGAAACGGAGGTATTCAGCTTGGCATAATGTGAAAGGAAACCTCCACATTCTGGTTTCAGTCGTGCTCCGGAGATAATGTGAGCAGTGAAACCTTTCGTATAATTTAGCTGGGCTTCAAAAGCATTGCACAATATTTTCATCAGTTATGAACAGCGAGGCATCACTAGCATCAACAGGGAGAGAACAAAAGGTTAAATTACCATCGCTCAGCTATGACTTCTTTAGCAAAGGCAGGCACTCTATGCAACTTCCCTACAAAGTGTTATGATTAACAGGTGTTATACAAAAGAAAAACTGGGTAAAAGCTATTTAGATGTAAATTAGATGATGTTTCCATAGCAAGCAACAGTCTGATGCAAATGTGAAATGATAAAGTTACAGAAGTGTATACTGATGGCCACTAGTTTCTGCTCAACTGTCATATATTAAAATACAAACTAATATTGAAATCAGTACCTAAGATGACCTGACCATGAAATGTAGGAAGAACAGATGCATTAAAAAGCTATTTAGATGTAAATTAGATGATGTTTCCATAGCAAGCAACAGTCTGATGCAAATGTGAAATGATAAAGTTACAGAAGTGTATACTGATGGCCACTAGTTTCTGCTCAACTGTCATATATTAAAATACAAACTAATATTGAAATCAGTACCTAAGATGACCTGACCATGAAATGTAGGAAGAACAGATGCGTTATGCAGATTAAAAAGCTGCAAACAACCAAAAAGGAAAAAAAAAACCAAACACCAAAAACCGGCAAAAGAGTGCTTCTCATTCTCCAGGGGTAAAAACGCTGGTTTCTTTTGTACGTGGTCTCTCCCCAGCATACAGCCACCACCTAACCACCCCGTATCTAGTTAACTGCTCCCGCTAGGAGCATTTTGCATGTGAACAGTGCCCACACAAGGCAGGGAGACCCAAGGGGGGCAGCACCTGCGGGAATACAGCATGTGCCTGCAGAAAAGGCTTTCTTCAGTGTTTCTGTTGTGAGTGGAGGCAGGAAAACACCGGTGAGGAGGAAGAAGGGTGTTTGAGGATACAGAGGACAAGGAAACAGAAGCGTGCTGCTAAGGGAGAGCGGGCAGGAGAACGGCAGCAGTCGTAGGTCACAAAATTGTGGAGTCAGGCAGTGGTAGGACGGCTGGGGTGAAGGGGAACATGGACATGAAGCACCGCAGAGGGAACCAGTGGCATACAGACTTTCAGAAGAACTAAGAGGAGATAAAAGCAGGAGGGATGCTCCCGCAGCAACATGGCACGACAAGGAGGAGACCCAGGAACGGATCATGGCAGTTGGCATGGGGTTGTTTGAACACAGCAAGGGAGCAAAGCCAGCCTCCCGTGCAACCTGGGCAAACCCCGTGGACCATCTCATAGTGGGTATTGCCCTGCCGGGATGGGGGTGCGCTTCCCTGTCTTACGAGGGCATTGCAAGGACAAAAATCCAGCTGTGATTGATATTACACCTGATACTCTGGTATTGCAGTTGTTGTTGGCAATAAAACCCCACCACTTTCACACAGTAGCAGAGGACAAGCTGTGCATTTGTGTCACACCTTCCTCATTCTTTCTCTTGTTCTCTCTCTGCTATTTCCAAATGCAATGCTCAAGAAATTTAACCAACCAGAAATTTTAATCCACACAAAATATGCTGTTTAGTAAATTATAAGTACTATTATACAAACTTGTTGAAATAATATTTGTGTACATTTAAAGAACATCTATTGCATTTTAACAACAAACATACTTAACTTGTCCAAGTCTGACCTGAACAAGTTACCTGAGGCCATTTAACTGCTAGCAGAGAGGTAGCAAGATACTAAATAAATAGGTAAGAAGTTTGCCCACCTGCATGCGAGCTTTAGTGCCAGGCACCAGGCAAGCTGTGAAAAAAGCCTCCAGGGCACAGGCTAACGAATGAGTACCAGCAGAGAGAAAATACATAAGGACATACCCGCCTGGTGCCGAGCTGACCGAGGGCTCCTCCTGCGCTGCGGGAGGGCTTGGTGGTTGCAGCAGGGAGCCCTCCGCAGTGTGGGCATCCCTGCCCCACTCCCAGCCGTCTGCTGGTGAGGCCGTTCCCTGCGGCACGTCGGGGGTGCTCGGCATCACCTCCTCAGGGCTTGCGGGGACTGGGAGCTCATCGCTGCCCTCCCAGCTTGCCTCCTTACAAGTCCACCAGTTACTCAGGGGAGGCTTTGGTCCTGTAAAAAAAAAAATTATTCCCAAACATTAGCAGGACCAAGGAGTACATCGTAGCATAGGGAATTAAACTAAGATTACCAATGCTCTTTGTTCACCTCTTTCACTTAACACGCGTGAGGGAGCATCCCTCTGCTCTCCCTTCGCTTTGGGTTTCCCTGCCCATGGCCCCATGTCCTTCTGTGCTCCTCTCGCAAGGGGGAGTCCGGGGAGGCTCCAGGCCTCCACGCTCACGCCTTTTGGGTTTGCAGCTCCCGGCGGGCGGGAGACAAACCCGGCACTCCTCAAAAACCATCACCACATGAAGGCCAGCTACTTCACTAAATCATCCCTGGAGGAACGATGAAACAGAAAAAGCTTTTCTTAGGGGGGAAAAGTGCACCTGAAGAGGCTACTATCGTACACGTTTTTTAAACCTTGCAGAAGAAATACACGCCTGGAGGCTTTTAAACTCTGCATGTTAATTGCCTTCTCTAAAAGAGATGAATACGGGGCTGAATCACACTTCTAAGACGACAGATACACGCTACTTATCTTCTTATAGAATGCCAAAAGTTAATGGACCAGCTAGTGCTGTAACAAATTAGTATTGCTACAGAAATTCCCAGTTTTCCATAAAATTCACCATGGGTTTAAATTAACCAGCATTCGCACACCTGCTAACGCTACAGCACCAGCATTTCTGCTTGTCTTGGTCACAGAGTTTCACTGGAACCGAATCACGTGAGGTTTATGCCAAACAGTAGCTGGTGCCAGGATGGGCTCTCTTAGCCTTGTTTCCAAATTTCTGAAGCAAGTACGTGCAACAGAAATGTCACTACTGCACTTGCTGGGAAATAAGGATGGAGAGGAATGGAGGTTTTTTTTCCTCCAGTGTGGGGGGTGGAGAGAAAGAGGCCATTTTCCTGCTTCATTAATCTGGGGGAAATGACATTTGTTCCTTCCCACATTTTGTGCTGCCAGTGCTGAGCAGCAGCCAGGGAGCAGCAGGAGAGGCTGGCAAGCACCGCCCTGCACTGAGCAGGCAGCAGAGCAGGCAGAAGAGCAGGCAGCGCCGTGCCAAACCCAGTGCATGCTCGCTCCAGATACGGCACAGCTAAGCGTCGTCTTCATCAGCTGCCATCGTTTGCAGCGTGGAAGGTCAAGCTTAGGAGAGCCGGAACAAGCCAGTCCCCTCTGCTCATTCAAACCTGGACCACGTTAGCCTGTTCACAACGCGCGCCTGGCAGCAGACAGACATAAGAAGTCCCCCCAGGCAGTCTGAGGTGATTACCGTGCCGTTTGACAAAAAGCTCATTTTGATTTTGAACCCAACTGCACAGTTTCTCTGAAGGCAGAGATACCGCATTCCAGAAATTAAATGGGTATTTCTTT